TACATTTGCTGTTATGTTAAACTTATATTAAAGTTTTTCTTCATTACCCATTCAAGCCGTCTCCAAGCATTATTAGCTACTTATATGGAGGTGAAAAATAGAAGTATATCTTACACCTGTATTAGACAATTATATATATATATATATATTTTACTCTCTTTTTCTATTCTCTCAAAGAATACAATCTGCTTTCCTGTACAACAGATACACTACTAAAGTTACACCAGTCAATATAAAATAGCATTTTGTTAATCTTTTCTTTAGTGATACAGAGCTTCATTTGATGTCAGTGAACATCTCCTGGTAATTAGCAAATCAAAAAATACAAGAACTTTTAAATGGATTTTCTTACAAAATATAATTTTAAAAAAATAATAAGAACAACAGATCTATAATTTTCCATAACGCTTGTGTTTCAAGTACAAGATATGGTCTCTAAATATATTATCTACTTTTAGTAAAAGCATTCATTGCACATGTTTTTGGGTGAATTAAATAGTAAGCTACAGGATGTTCATTATAATTTTTGCTACCGAACTTTTGAAACCTTTTATAAGTGTCCACATACTGACAAAACACCACAGAAACGCAGCAGCATTTAACCCTCTCGATACAGTAGGTAAAAGTTGAGCATTTCAGGATCTTTTTTTTTTTTACTGAATCACATTCAAAATTTAATTAAACTACTTTGTTATACTGCCTTATAAATCTCCAGAAAAAGTACTATTTATTTATCAAAATTCTTTTGGTGTAACTTAGTTGTAGTGAGACCAATCCTCATTCTTGTTAAGCCTAATCTAAAACTAACTTGCAAAGAAACTAAAATAAATGTTTCACTAGACTTCGAGAATTTTAAACCTCTTAGCAGGCACACCATACCTCCTCTTCATATGGAGAATGAGTTCCTCCTGAAGATTTATGTGCACTGTGAGACTTCCTAACAGAAATGATAGAATTTGAAGTACCGTTATCACCTGTGGCTTGTTTATGTGGTGATGGTGGCATCAGTAGCTTTGAATTTTTTAACTTATGAGCCAAGGTCATAAAAATTGCTTCTACATGATCTGCCTCACTGTCATCTTTTGCAGAGGTTTCAAAGACTGGCATGCTGTGGAAATCAGCAAATTTCTGGGCCATATTTAGGTTGACTGCTACCTGTTCTTTGCAGTCACATTTATTTCCAACAAGAATACGGGGTATACTATCAGTTAATCGATTCTCCTCGCATTCCTTTATCCAGTGCGGCAAGCTCTCAAACGATGCAATTTTAGTAACATCATATACAAACACAACAGCATGAACATTCCGATAATAATGCTGAACCATGCTTTTTCTGAACCTCTCCTGGCCTGCAGTATCCCATAACTGCAACTGCAAAAACACAAAATACATGAATCACATTTTCTGAATGGGCTCTTGTATTAATGATTTTACATGACAAAAGATTTAAAGAGAGAGAGAGAAAAAGAAATGGAGCCTTTATGGTATGTGTTTCAAACATAAAGTACTGTTTTGATCACACTTTACAGAGTTATTAACCGAAAACTGTGAAAATGCCCTATATCCCCATTATAAAAAGTGGTTCAAAGTGATCTAGAATCCAGATCAAATTTGGGGAGAAATCCCATCTTGTGTAAAATTTTCATGTACATGGGTCTATTTGTTTGCGAGATTTACACACAGATATACACACACACATGGACCTGATTGCAATACCCTCACAGGGCGAGGGTAAATATTTTCATAGTCATTTTGTCAATGAGATTTAAATTGCATGTGCTAAGCCATACTGAAGTACTCCATTATAATTTTCAGTGAGAAAACTAATAAGGTTTTATCATTTGGGGTGGGTGGATTAGTGGACTTTTAAATCCAGTGTGTGTATATGTGTGCCCAGCTTATTCCATTTACCTGTTGTGAATCATGAACTTGCAAGACCCCTGACTTGTGGTGAACAGCTTTCGAAAAACAAGTATGTACTTATAAAAAGCTTGGGTTTTGCATAAATCAGTTGATCCTCCTGTGGATATAATGTATTACTTGAAAGAAATATCCAAATGTCTGGTAATTACATTTACACTACCTCACAGGGGAGATTTTTGTGGGGTGTTCTCTAGAACTTATTTAATTGCATAGGAATGTAAAGTATATTTCTTCTCACGGAGTGTTTTTGATTCAGTGAAAACAAACAGTACTGCTTCGTCATGAAGGCAAAACTAACAAGAGCAATCAGGAAGGTTATATACCCTCGCCCCGCCTCTCACTTTTGAGATTGCATACGTTTATATTGAATAATGTAAAATGTCACCTTCGAAAACTCAGAAAATCCCTCTCAGATCCAGAATGATCAGTGATCCGGATAACGTTTTGTAGCATGGTGAGGAGTCTCAACCTTTATGTGCCCATGAAAGTTGGTACAATTCCTAGCAATTTGTTCCTTTGTACTGCTAAGTGTCTGTTGGGGGGAGGTCCCCCTATAAAATAAATTTGGGAGTAACCAACTGCACTGGGAATAAGTTGCATCTAACACGTGGAACAAACCATCATTACAGGGGCAGGGGGCTTCATTGCAACACACACAGGTAATACAGGGCAGCCAACATAGCCAAACCATCACTACAGGGGCAGAGGGCTTCATTGCAACCCACACAGGTAATACAGGGCAGCCAACATAGCAGTTACAAACACTACACATAAAACTATGAAAGTATGATACGGGTTACAAATATCCGGTTTTAAATAAACATGCTAAAACCTTCAAATATAAAAAGCTTCTTAGTTTATGTTTTGGGGTAAATCATATCTCTAGGGAACAACTGTATCGGACAACTACACCACATTGGTAGAAGTAGGCTTAAACATACATTTACTATATTACTGGAGGACTGTATGAGAAATGTGATTATTTTTGTGACATTAACTGAGTGAATCGTAATTTTGATTAATTAATTATATTACTTAACACCACACAATGTATCTAATGCTTATAGTTAATTAATTATATTAATTGAGCTAACCCCCAGCTCCAGTGACTACTGCCATGCCGATACATGTATTATAGCTTGCATGAATGGCAACTACCAGCTGGTAGCATTTGGCACAACTTACATGAACAACTACTACCAGATAGTAGCATCTGACACAACCTATGTGAACACCTAGTATCAGATAATAGCATCTGACACAACCTATGTGAATGTCTACTACCAGATGGTAGCATTCAATACAACCTATGTGAATGTCTACCAGATGGTAGCATTTGGCACAACTTGTGTGAATGTCTTCCACCAGATGGTAGCATTCGGCACAACTTGTGTGAATGTCTTCCACCAGATGGTAGCATTTGACACAACTCGTGGGAATGTCTACTACCAGATGGTATCATTTGGCACAACTTACATGAACAACTACTACTAGTTACTACTAATTTGACTAAAAATGACTTCTGATATAAAATTCTCTTTTCGAAAGCACATACAACATGAACTTTTGAGGTAATTATTACAAGTATTGTAACCCTAAATGCAAGTTTTTCCATGCGATTACTTAAGGAATGGTACAAAATGGTATGTGCGCTGTTAAGGTTCTTGAATTGCACAGAAAGAAGAAAAATGTTACATTTAAGTTGTACTTTTTTGTTTAAAGGTTAATGGATGAACCCAAGGGCAAATTTATCTTTTGTTACCCACTTTTTTCTTATTTTTGTGAAAATGATAAAGAAGGTTTTATGTACTTAAGTTACCTTAATTTCCTCTCCTTCAATTTCAACAGTTCTTTCTCTGAAGTCAACCCCAATGGTTGCTTCCGTTTTGGCAGGAAACATGCCGCCACAGAATCGGTACGTTAAGCACGTTTTTCCAACACTCGAGTCTCCGATGACAATAATTTTAAAAACTTGCTTCTCTTTTTCTCTACTAACCATCATTTGAGAGGTTGTTTTTCGTCTTGCAGCCTTACTCATCTTGATGGACCCAAGTTGAGCTTTATATTCTAAAGATATGAAAATATTGTTTAATAACAAATTAACTAATGAGTAACCTTCTATATTTAATAACATCGCAGTATTCTATACATCTAGTTACTATATTTCATCTTACATAAAAACTATGTGAATTTCACTGTATGCATACTTTGACATATTTCTTTTTCAATACTTTAAAATTATCGTACATAACCGAGATTAAAACTTTGACATAAATATGAAGAAAAAAAAACAGAATAAATTGCTTTCGTTGTTAAGATTTACACTTAAAGATTGATAGAACATTATTAAGTTCTAATTAAATTAATATGTGATACAATATTCTTTTAGCTGGTAAAAGTATACTTTTTTCTTGTACCTTTGTTTCCCTTGTGCTGTTATTTTAAATTTGATTTCGTTTAATTTAGTCTAAATTTATACTTTTGTTTACTTACAAGAAATGTATAAAAAACAAATTGGCAAAATTCAAGAGTTCCAAATTTTTAAAGACTTTGATAATCTACATGTGACCTGTTCGTGCAGCAGAATTAAATGAATGGAAATGCAAACTTTGAATTTTATTAAAACCTTTGGTAGCTTCAATGTAGTTATATTCTTTAAGAAATTTTATTTACTGTTCAGCAAACATGAATCAAATTTTTCTACACATACATCAACATTTACAAAAGAATGACTAAAGAGTTTAATCAATATATTTCTGAGGGAGGTATAGTTAGTTCCTTTTAACTGTTGATGGAACATTTTATGGCACGAAATAAAGGGGGTAGAGGAACCAAAAGGAAGAGTAATAATTCAAGGTTCTCGATAACCTGGAATCTCAACCATTTCACATACATTTCTATTCATGCTTGTGAAAGAGATGCATTCATTTTAGGGTTCTAATTCTAATACTGTTCCTGACTTAACAGTAGCTGGTGATATGAAACACAGTTATGTTTTGAGGCAGGAGTTAGGCACACGTATAATGTATATATATTACAAATTGGCTTGATCCTGTAAATAAAGGCTTTTCAAACTATTTTTTTGCTGGACCCCCCCTCAAAATATTTAAGGCTGTTAAAATTAGTTAACTCATATTCACTACTATTACAAGTCACTGTACATTAATTAATAAATCATATGCCAGTGCATTATTATGAAACATTCATACGAATGTAGCTTCCCAGATTTATTTTCTATTTTTTTAGTTATTGGTATTATTGTTATTATTAAAGCATTAGAAACATTTACATCTGAACTACTTATTATTATATTTGGCTTTAATTGCATTTTGTTTAAGTTTTTAATTTATATTTGTCATAGAGTTCTTACAGTTACACAGTCACTAATACTAAAACACTTAACTGGCTTTCGTTGGTCCAGAAATTGTTAGTTAGAATTAAACAGTTTTACGTACATTCATTCAGGTTATCAGTGATTCCACACAAAGTCAACTAGTTTTTATGTATTTTGTGATTACTTTACATTCTACAATTTCATAAAATGTTTCTTTCATTAACAATACTGATTAAAATAATTTATATCCATTTACTACTTTGATTATTTTGCATTATTAGCTTATAATTTGGATTCGGGACTAACCTAAATCTCCAAAGCTGGACAAATCTAGTGAGATAGTACCAAGATTATGGAGAAAAGTATTATTAACAACAAGAGTGTCCAACTAATGAATCAATGCATTTTCGAGTCATTGTAAGTTTTTGTTTTATGATATCCCATCCACTCATTTAGAATTGCCTATTAAATTAGCTACAGTTTTAAATATAGTTCTATGTATGTAGCTTGCTTGGATCCCAAGTCAATGATAATACCCATAATGCTAGATGTGGGTCTAGCAAATATTTACTATACTTGTAGTTGTACTCACACGGTTTTGTTAGAAGCACCTGAAGTCCACACTTCTGATTTAAAAGATGGTAAAAAAAAGCCTAACATAAGCACTGATAAAGTTACCCAATTAAAAAAATAATTGAACAGGAAACACATACACACACACACACTTGTATATATACGTATATAATTCCACTGATCCACAAAAACAAAGTCAGGAAATACACTTTATATGTAGATGGGCCTTTAACATGTAAAATACAAATAGTTGAAATACTGTATGTACTTAAGAATGGCAATGTTGACAATGTACTGTACTAAACAGGCCAAGTTCAGAAGTAGTAAGTCAGAGCATACATTAAAAGCAGTTATTCAATAAAAAGTTTTGCCAAAAGATAGCAAGACAACAGAGAACTCACCAGAAGGATCAGATAACAATTGCAGAAAAAAAATTATTTACTTAGCAGCAGTACTCTAGTAGTAGTACTAATTTTTAGTTTTTACTAATAATCCTGTTAGTATTACTACTGTTGCTACAAGTACAACTAATAACATTACTATTAGGTCATAATTCAATACTAAGTCTTACAAGTAACACGGCATACTTGTGATTCTTAATAAAGTAATCCGCGACATGCTGAAATAAATTAAAATGTATAAAACTTAAATTACAAACAAACAAAAAAAAAACAAGTAGTGATACTACTATTAATGTTAATAACACTTACATTTCTAACTAATTTTATGAAAATATGTTAAATTATAATTTACAACTTTACAGAATTGGTCAGAAGTACCAACTTTAGTTGTAACACTACAGTAAAGTTCGTATGCGGTATAGTTAGTCAATTGTAATTTGTAAACCAGATATTGGGTTGGTAACATTTTGCAACCCCAACTTACGAACCAGTGATCACATAAACAGATAAACTCTGACCTATATCAAACTTTGTTATATGATTTTATCAGTTCTCTTTCTACATTTCTTCATAATTAATATTGTCAATTACTACTTTTCACACACGTAAACAGACCAACGTCAATCACGTTAGAAGTTTTCAACTCCCTCTATATATTTATATATCTGTTGTTTTCATATATTAGCTGCATTACTCGTCCGGAGCAATTCGTATGAAAATGATATGTATTATATATTTTTTTAATGTGACATTGTGCTGTTTTTAATACATATATATGCATAAACTATTGGTAAAAACAACTTTTCTAGTTTTTAATTATTGGCTGTTGTTGATGTTTTTTTCCTTTCAAATATATGCTATCAATTACAGAATATTTGTGAATTTTCCTATTATTCCTGTATTGAAATCTGACACAGCAAAAAAGTTTGGAAATGTTAAAATTATAATTTTGAATGCCTTAGGAAATAAAATGAACACAGACAGCAAAGAAGTTATAATTTAACACGACAGTATAAATGGACAAAATGTTTAGTTATACAACACAGTCTTAACTCACTGGTCAGCCTCCATGCTTGTTTGAAGACCATAGCTGGTTCAGACATAAGGTAGGAAACAAAACGTAATCACAGGACAAATGTGAAAACGGGAATCGTGAAATATCAATTAGTAAGACAGATTAGGTCGCTAATGCGGTATACCACAATCCTTAGATTTTCTACGTCTGCAATATTTCCAATAAACATATTCAAGGAAGATAAACCCTGATTCTTTCTAACTGTATAAGATTTTGTACCTCTCACAACAAGAATGACCCCACTTCAGGAAGACATGGCACAGAATCAGGGTCAAGTAAATATAATCTAATGAAACAATCGTTTAATATGTAACCTATATCTAAGGTAGAGTATTAGCACATAGGTACAACCTTCTCAATTCCAGCTTACAAGGATGCCGCTTACTACTAATTTTTGTCAGTCCTTGAATAGTGGGTAGGTACCAGAGGATTGGAAGTTAGCTAATGTAACTCCTGTTTTCAAGGAGGTGATAAAACTGTCCCACTACTTATAGTGCATCAGTTGTGGGAAAAGTTTTGAGAAGTCTGTTAAAAGATGCTTTGCAAAGTTTAGAATTTTACAGGATAGTCAACATGGTTTCACTAAGAGAGAATCTTGCCTTACAAATATTTTAACATTCTTTGGAAAGGTTACTGTTTATGTAGATGAGGGTGAGAGTGTAAATTTGGTGTATGTGGAATTTCAGAAAGCACTTGACAAGGTGCCACATAATAGGCTTGTAAAAAATTATCTATATATATATATTATAGGTGTGGAGGATAAGTTAGCAAATTGGATAGAAGAGTGGCTGGATTGGAGAAAGCATAGGGTTGTAACAAATGGAGTTCAGTCAAACTGGATTAATGTCACAATGGGGCGCCTCAGGGCTCAGTCTTAGGACTTTTGCTCTTTTTTGATTTACATCAACGATGTAGATGAAAGAATGGTCAATAAACTACTTAAATCTGCAGGTGATATTAAGGTCTTGGGTGTTGCTAGCTGTGAAGAGGATGCTGCTGATTTACAAAAGGATTTAGATAATTTAGTGAGTTGGGCAAGTAAATGGCAAATGGGTTTTAATTATAATAAATGCCAGATGACGCATGTGGGTTATCACAATTTGAATTATAAGTATTATTTGGATGAGAATAACCTTAACAGTGTCACAAAAGAAAGGGGTCTTGATGTAATAGTTGATTAGTCTCTAAAGCCATCCAAGCATTGTGCTTTTGCTAATGGTAGGGCAAATAGGATTTTAAGTTGTATCTACAGAAATATTGAATACAAGTCTAAAGAGGTTATACTTTCATTATATAGGCCAGTGGTTAGGCCACGTTTGGAATATTGTGTTCATTCTTGAGTTCCTTACCTAAGGAGGGACATTGAATTGTTGGAAATGGTTCAGAGGAGGGTTACTAGAATGGTGCCTGGGATGGAGAGGTTGAAATCTCTCAAATTGTTTTCTCTTGAAAAAAGAAGAGTTAGGAGGGAACTGATTGAGGTGTTTAAGATTGTAAAGAAAATTGACAGCGTTGATGTATCATATTTTTTCATACTTAACAGTGAGAACAGTAGGACTAGTGGACACAAGTATAAATTTTGGCAGGTAGGAGTCATCTTCAGCTAAGACAGTTTTATTTTTCTAACAAGGTGGTTGGCCTTTGGAGTGGGTTGCCTTCGGATATTGTGGAGGCAGTAAATTTA